TGTCTTTCTCAATTTTTCGGCTGATGTTTTTGTGAGAGTTAAGGTTTCTGCTCCGTATGTGAGGACTGGTAGAACGCACTGGTTAAAAGCTTTTCTTTTTAAATGGATCGGTATATTTGTTTTAAATACGTCTCTCATTTTTCCGAATGCAGCCCAACCCAGACTTATTCTTCTGAGAAGCTCGCATGTTTGGTTATCTCGCGTTAACCTTATTTCGTGACCCAAATACACATATTTTTCCACAAATTCTATGGGCGACTTTTCGATTTCTATTAGCCCATTGGGGACGAGGTTGGTCATCATTTTTGTTTTTCCATAGTTTATCTTTAAACCGACTTTCTGGGTTACTTGCTGTAGTTGTTGTAGCATAACTCTGGCTTCTCCTAAGTTGTCTGTTATGAGAACAATATCATCGGCATATCTGAGATGATTGAATATCTTTCCATCGATGCTAATACCCTTTGATTCCCACTCTAGCCGTTTAAATGCGTACTCCATAACTGTTATAAATAGTTTTGGCGACAAAGTATCTCCCTGCCGCACCCCTCTGCGAATTTTTATCTTCTCAGTCATGCAATGGAGGTTAACGGTTGTTGTCGCATTTTCGTATATATTTCGAATAATATTTGCATACCTGTGATCTATTCTGCATTCTGATAGTGCTTTTAAGATAGCAACTGTTTCGACTGTGTCAAATGCTTTGTGGAAGTCTACAAAGATAAGAGCAAGGGGTCTGTTATATTCGATAGACTTTTCAACTAGAGTTTTCAGGCATTGCAAATGGTCGTTTGTTCCGTGTCTCGCTCGAAATCCTACCTGTTCTTCTGATTGATAGAAATCGAGTTTTGCTTCTAATCTGTTTGTCAGTATTCGAGTAAAGAGCTTGTATAGGTGGTTAAGCAAACTGATTGGCCTATAGTTTTCGAGATCTAATTTATCCCCTTTTTTGTGAAGGAGGATCGTAACCGAATTCTTCCATTTACTTGGAATGTTTTCACTATGCAGACATAGATTAAAAAGTATTTGGATTCGGGACATCAAAAGTGGACCTCCTAGTTTAATTGTCTCAATGACTACACCATCTTCCCCGGAGCTCTATTATTTTTCATATTTTTGAGGGCATGTTGAATTTCCTCTCGTGATATATCTGGTATATCCTCCGATCCTACATTATGTACCTTTTGTATTGGTTGTTCGATGAGCTCTGGAATAACTTGACTTTTATATAATGTTTCATAGAAACTTTCCACTATATGTAATATGCTTGGTCTATCTGAGATAATATTTCCATTTTTGTCTTTAAGTTGGAAGATTTCTTTTTTGCCATTATCCATTTTTCTCCTCAATGCTTTCATGCTTTTGTTGTCTTCTATAGTTTTTATAATTTTCTCGTTGTTGTATTTTCTAATATCCCGTCTGATGGCTTTAGAGATTTCTTTATTGATGCTGTTTATATCTTGTGAGTCAACATTTCCTTGACTTCTCAGCATTCTACGATCTTCCATTTTTTGTTTCGTTTCTTCACTAATTTTTTGTTCTTTTCCATGTTTAGGGCCAAATTTTTCCTGAGCTTGTGTTAATGTATCTACTATTTCTTCGTTTAGGTTATTTACGTCTTCTCTTGTTGTATTTCTGAGTAAGTTACTGGTGATATATTTTTCAAAGTCAAGTTCATTCGTTGGGCGCATCCAAGGTTTGGATTTTTTACTTTTTATCATCTTCAGTCTTTCTTGCTTAATATTGATTTCTACAGTTGCTTGGACCATTCTATGATCGCTTGCAACCGAAAATTGATTTAAGACTGTAACATCTTTGACTATATGTTTTTTGTCAGTGATGATGAAGTCGATCTTATTTTTTGTCTTACCATCGGGGCTCTTCCAAGTCCATCTTCTATGGATCTTCTTATAGAAGAAGATATTCATTAAATATAGACTGTTTTCTAATAGGAAATTTAAGAGTATTTCGCCCCTTTCATTTCTACCTGGTGTGCCAAAATTTCCGAGGGCATTTTCAGCTGGGTCAGTGCTTATTCCTATTTTGGCATTAAAGTCGCCACATATTACCGTAAAATGTTCTTGGTCTTCTGAAATAGCTGTGTACAAGTCATCATAGAACTGTTCTATTTCTTCGTCGGCGTGACTCGATGTTGGTGCGTAGACTTGAATGATCTTTATGGAGTAACAGGTGTTTAGTTGTAATTTTGCAAGTATAACTCTTGTGGAAACTGCTTTTACTGATATGATATTCTCAGCTAGTTTTTTATTAATAAAGAGCCCGATGCCTCCATTCCCATCGTTTTCTCCTACATGATAGAAAATGTGACCGGATTTTAAAGTGGTTAGGCTTTCTTCTTTGCTTCTGGCCTCAGCGACTCCAACAATGTCTCAATTGATTTTATCAAGTTCAGATTCCATTTCTATGAATTTTTCTTCTGATAGCAGGGTTCTTGCAATGAAAGTTGCAATATATATATATATATATATATATATATATATATATATATATATATATATATATATATCTGTTAGATGGTTTTCTAAAATATGTCAGAATTTTGTCCCCCCCCCAGAATCCGTGGGACTGACTGATAGTCTATCAGTGTGAGATTCTGAATTTTTCTTTCTACTCACCTGGGGTAAATAAGTTTTTGTATTCGTATCTGACATAATAAAGGAGTAATAGTATTTAAAACATCACGCTTGCTTTGCGCGTTGACGAGTTTTTAGTTCAGCCGCCCATTATGGGTACAGACGCTGTTGACAACCGCCCAGTATGGGACAGACGCTATCGGTTTGATTTTATACCATCCCTAAAATTCAAGGATGCCACTTCCGCCATCCACGTCGTACCGAAGATCTTCTTCGCCGCCGTGCCTACCGTTGTGGTCTTCACCTGTATCCTTAGGTAGGGGGCCGTGTTATACCCCACAGAACTGGGTCCCGATCTGGACTTAGCCATCTATTCACTCCGGCCTACTGAAGTGATAGATGCCCACCCCCGCGACATGGACGCGCCAGATTGGAGTTACCCACGTGAGACGTTTTCAACTGCATGCATTTGAACTTCAGATGCTGTTAGATTACCACATTCCATACAAAGCACAGTTCTGTATCTATCACAAGCAAAAACTTGATTTAAGTCGAATTGGTTATTACACTCGGCGCATGCATTTTATTTATTAAAATATAGAACAAATATAGAAAACTTCCTGGACTAGTAGGTTGACTGTTGGCTCTCCTACCCCGTGGACTGCACTCGACTTGTATATCTTTTATTTTCAAAGTTTCAGTTGTGGGTCTTCATCCCTTGGATTTCCTCTAAGTCTTCTTTTGTCAAGATATTTCGACCTGCTTCTAAAGTTATGCAGGCAATCTGAAATTTGGCTAACAATAAATCCCCAGGAACAGACAACTTACAACAGAACTGTTTAAAAGGGCCGGAGAAAACTATATATTTAATTTATACAAATTGATAATAGAAATATGGAAATAATGTAAGTTACCTGACGACTGAAACATTGTAATAATATGCCCCATCTATAAAAAGTAAATGTAGGTAATTCTTTATATTCTAAAATAATTTTTTATATCGTATGCTTTGGCCTAAGATCCTAAGCAGAGAATATAATAGGAAAATAATAAACTAGTTCCGGACAGAAAATCAACAATATGTCAAATATCAACACTGAGACAACTTCCGGAAAAGACAAAGGAATATGGTATTGACACATACCATATCGTTGCTAATTTTAAATCGGCTTATGACAGCATCAACAGGAATAACCTTTGCATTCAAATGCAAGAGTTTGGAATACCAAAGTATTTGTAAACTTAATAAAGCTAACTACCAAAAATATAGAGAGCGCATTCGGCCAGATGATACTGTCCAGGTGAATATAGCGATAATAGCGTTAGACAAGGTGATACAATATGTTTATAGAGCCCCGAAAACAGCCATAAGAACTTCTGGAATTAAACCAAACGGCACAATATTTAGCAAGAGAATCCAACTCATATGTGTGATGACATTGACATTATAGGGAGAAACGAACCTGTGGTTAAAAGGATTCTCGCAGCTACAGCAAACTTCAAAACTATGGGACTTGTAGTAAACATTCAGAAAATAAAATATATGGCAGTACCAGTGACCAGTACCTCAGACAGATGCAGAACTTAATAATTATAAGTGAATAAACCATCGAAGCTGGTCAAGAATCTGTATATCTTGGCTCTATTGTCGATAGAAAAAAAAAAAAATGGTATGAACAACGAAATCTATACAGACAACCAAATATCTTAAAAACCGTTAAAATCAACAGATTTGGATGGGCGAATCAGTTCGTAAGAATGAGAGATGAGGACCCGGTCCTAAAATCGATGTTTGAAAAACTTATGACACAGAAACAAAGCTTAGGACCAAAAGAATGCTTCCTGGATGATGTGGAAACAGATCTGCAGGTATTGGGAATAAGGACACAGAAAATAGACTGTAAGCCTATGGGAGATTTTTAATAGGTCATTTGATCTAGCATGAATCACATATAAAACGATACTACAATATGTAATAACAACTTTAGAAACTATGCCGACATCTTCTCTTGAGATAATAAATAAATAAGAATATAGAATACTTTTACCCAAGTACCTATAATTTTTTTTGTTTAATTAATATTTGCTTCCGACTATAACCCATAAAGAATGATTTTCTATGTCACTGGACAATAAAATTTTTATGAACTGAACAAGAGAATGTGTGTGGAGTCGTCATAAAATATTTATTGCTGTATATTATGGGCTTTCTAATATTTAATATAGGTATTGGATGGTATTTACCAATATAAAAATGAATAATCATTAATTTAACCAAAAAGTATACTTTACTTTTATGTATACTGCGCAGGGAAGTACAAATTGAATGTACTCTTTTTTAATCTATTTTAATATTTACCCTCTTTACAGTTTAATTTTATGTTAAAACTAATTATTCAATGTTTTCAGGCAAAACAAAAAGCATCGATTAAATGGCTCCTTTCCAAAGCATTTAACAACAAAATACCTGAAAATTTGAAAGAACCTTTTTACCGGGATCATGAGGTAAGTTAAAATATTTTAATTTCGAATTGATTTCATTCTGAGTTTTATAAGAATTTCGAAATTTAAGACCATGAGTATATGTTAAAAGTAAACATTTTTACACATTATTGTATCAAGCTATACAGATTGTTGCGTATTATAGTACAAAAGTAACAAATATATGTAGTAGATTTCTGTATTTTAATAGTTCTGCTTTAAGCTATAGTGCGGATAAAAATATTTATTTTTTACTTAAACTTAAATATACCGTTAAAGCAGGACATATTTTGACCATTTTTTATTTACATTTAATATCTCATGCTTATTTTGATAACTTATGTAGAATAGCTTTTGTATTTACTCTTGTTATTGTTAGAATTATTGATACTAAAAGAACAATTTATAAAAACATAGTTAAATATAAAATTAAGGGAAGTATACAGTTTGTACAGTACAACATTTTTGGAATCAAGCAAAAAATCAAAGCACGTCTCTGCTCTTATTTTATTTATTTCAAAATACAAAACCCTAACATATTTTTTTAAACCGAGATTCTTTTCATTATTTTACTTGTAATTTGTCGGGAAATATTAAAGGCAAAACACAACAATTAACAAGGAATCTCCCACCTCAGTCTCTAGCTTTCTGTAGCTAGATAATGTGAGGCCTAGATGTTTAGTCTCCATCACTACTTGTTCTATTATCTGAACTTCCGGCTTCAATTTACATCTTAGTAAATTTGGTGTTATAACCATGTATTTTGTCTTTTTTTGGGGAAATTAACATGTTAAATTTTCTGGAGGTTATATTAAATTGGTGCAGCATACGTTGTAAATCATCTTCACTTTGAGAAGCAGTAGTATTGTGTCATCTGCATAGCAGATTATTTTAAGTTATTTTTCTCCCAATTGGTATCCTTTTTTAGTTCTTACTTTTTTTATTATTTCATCCATAATCAGGTTGAACAATAGAGGACTCAGGGAATCTCATTGTCTTATCCCATTGCCAGCTTCAAAGGGTCGGTTAGTTCTTCTTCTACTTTTACTTTTATTGTGTTGTTTTGGTAGATATTTTCGATCGTTTTGTTTATTACTAGAGGTATCTCTCTTGCGTACAGTAAGTGGATGACGTCCTTTAATTTGACCCTGTCAAATGCCTTCATACGGTTTATGAAACATGGATATGCCGGATTGTTGTATTATGAAACAGTCGGTCCGAAGTTCGGATAAAATGTGGAGTGTGATTGGCAAGGTTAGCAACCTACCAATCGTAACAACAAATAATGCTTAAAGAAACAATGGAGAGAGCCTCGGAACCGGATTGATACTATGAAGACGACCACGGCAAGAAATAAGGACAAGCGAAAAATATCCAAAACCCAAATAAGAATTACTACTTGAAATATCAGAACGCCCAACTCAAGAGACCAAGAAATAACCCAAGTGTTGAAATAGAAAGAAATAGACTTAAAATACTGATACACTTAATTCATTTTCTCCTTCTTCCGTATTTTCTGTCTCACTATCATCATTCAATTCAGTAATAAATTTATTTCCACCATTTATGTGGAAGTGCCACTTATTCTTATAATAATATAAGATCTTCTTATAATATTCTTCGACTTTGATCGCGTTGGCGATTCTTCTCTGCCAGTATTCTTCAGTAATATTAGATACTTCTTTTCTAATTATTATCTCAATTACCTTCTTATCAAATTTAGAAAATGTAATTGCACGCCTTATACTTTGTATGTAATTGTCCCGAAATTAATTCTGTACTATGGAAAACACAAAAATAGGGGAAAATCTCAATATAATTTGTCCATGCTTTTTTTTACTCTCTAGGCCGTATAATTTGTTAAATTTCTTCGTGTATAAAACTTCAATAAGTTGTTTTGTTAATTTTCCATTAAAAGCTTTGCAGTTCAGCTTTCTTTGAAGATGTACTTGGTATCTGAGTTAGCACTCGGGAATAATAGGAAGCATTGTCAAGCACTATTACACATATTGTCTATCTAGGTGATTATATAGAAAGTCTTTTAAAAGGGAAAAAGCATTGCCACTGACCCTTTTTGCCAACTGTTTCTGGGTATACATACAACTCACTTTCTGATGTTGAAAATACACGAACATTGAAGAAACATAGAAAGCTTTCGCTTATAATAATCGTCGTTGCTATTTATATTAGGAATGAGTAAGTTCCTACCATAGTCCAGACAGATTTATTCCCTCGTCACATCCTATGAGTTTGCTGTTCTGGATTTACGCTTTCTCGAATAAAATTCTGCTGCTCGTCTCTTATGAAGGTCCTTTTCTATCTTCTGACGGTTTATTTCAGTCTCTATGTTTTTGTACTTTCACTAGGTTCTACCATATTTTTTTCCAGATACCTCATTTTAGCTAAAAACTTGTCATAGATGCTACATGTGTCCGTCCTGGGATAATCAAAAGATATGAAGGGTACAGGGGAAAAAACGGCATTAGTCCATTTTTTCAACAAACTGAGGTCACCATTGATTTTTGTGGTACTGTTAGGTTACTTTCAAGTAGTGATACCGTTAATCTGTAAAAATAGCGTAGATCCTTAAAATAACCATTATAAGATTTACTATACGGGGGAAGAATGGCAGTAGTCCGTGCGCGTGTATGGAAAAAGGGCATCAGTCCCTGTTATCAGTTGGTGTCGGTAAGTCAATTGTTGTATATTGATACGTTGTGCATATTTCTGTAGTGTAAAAGTTTTTAAAAACACAAGAATTATCATGGATAGTGACTATTCAGTGTCCAGTGAAAGTGAAACTGGTCTATCAAGCAGGGAAACGAAGAAACGTAAAAGAACTGGCAGAGGGCGAGATGTAATGAAAATTTTACGTGCCACAACGCATGAATTGGGACCCGACTGTTTTTGTAAACGTTTTAAATGTTTTACTGTGGTTCCTGAACCTGAACGGTATAGAATAATTCGTGAATTTAATAAATTAGGTAACACTGATGCACAAAACTCTTACATTAGTGGTCTAATCAGTGTTCTTCCTGTCAACCGCAGCGCAGGCGACCTAGAAAAAACGCTGAAGAATCTAGACTTAATAGTGCTTCCTTTAGTTATCGTGTTCGAATAGTTGAGGATGGAATTACTCGTGATGTTTCAGTATGTATCAAAGCTTTTTTATCTTTCCATGGAATCACGGGACGTCGAGTTAGATACGTTAGAGACTCCCTGCTTTTTAATGGGAAAGCACCTATCGATATGCGAGGAAAACATAATTCGCGACCTCACAAACTTTCTGAAGTCACAAAGCAAAAGGTGATGGAGTTCATTAAAAGTCTAAAAGGACGCAAATCTCATTATTCTTTAGCAGACTCGAATAAAATTTACTTACCTAAAAACTTAAACATAGTGAAATTACACAAAATGTATTCCGAAACAAACGTTGACAATAAAATATCCTACGAATCCTTCCGTGACATTTTTGAGTCAAATTTTAATATATCGTTCGGATATCCACGAAAAGACACTTGTAGCACGTGTGACTCCTTAAAAGCCGACATATCATCGATAACTACATTATTAAATTCTACTTCGGACCTTGAAACTAGGAAAACAGCAAGTAATGATATAGAAAAAAAGACACGTGAAAGGAATCTACATCTAAAAAAGTGAGCGATTTTATAGTCTAAAAAGAAGTTACCGCAAACGTGCTTCAAAGTCCTCGACTATGGAAGGTATAAGTATGGATTATCAAAAAAACTTACCATGTCCAAATATTACAACCGAACGACGTATACTATAAACGTCAACTAAACTTCATCAGTTTCAACATTCATATTTTATCGGATTCAAAATCTGTATTTTATACCTACGATGAATCTGTTGCTAAGATAGAAGCTGACGATGTTTGTTCCTTGCTGAATCACTTTTTTTTATAATATTCTGCCCATAGAAGTAAAAGAACTAGCTATTTGTTGTGATTCCTGTGCAGGACAAAATAAAAATTTTACTATCATTCGATTCTTGCATTACTTAGTTACAAGAAAAAATCGTTTTGATATTGTGAAAGTAATATTCCCTATTAGAGGGCATTCATATCTTGAAAGCGATCGAAACATGAGCCTTGTCAATCAGAAAGCATACACTGAGGTACCAGAGGACTGGAGAGACGAATTGCGAAATTGCCGTTTGAAACCTACACCATTTGAAGTGATTGATTGCAGTAAAAATTTTGATTTTCAAAATTGTACTTCATTTTTATCGCCGCTATATCCAACGAAGTGCCCTTTCCCAACTCGGCCAATCAGAATGCTTAAATTTTGCAGCAAGGATAACCGGTTAATTTTCCATAAATCTACGTATATGGGTTTATATTATAATTCTAAATTCGAAAATAAACCGATTAAGGCGTGCCGCAAAAGGACACAAAATAATCACAATAAAAAAGAAGTAGGAACATTACGAAAACTTTATCAAGGCGCAATTCCTATTAAAAAATCCAAATGGAAAGATCTAACTGCATTCCTCGAGAAACCAGAATCCAGGTTGTTTTATCAACAATTAACAGTGGTTGTCGAACAATCTGGAGAAAGCGATGACGAATTTGTGGACGATCCGCCAATAGACGTCTAATATAGAAGAAAAGTGGCACGCATCTGTCTGTATTATATTTTTTTTTACCTCATTTATTTTTATAATAAGGTTATTTTTAACGTTTTTAATAAAAAATATAATATTTACCTAAAAATATTATTTTTGATTATTTTTCTTTATATTTGACTTTATAATAAGTCTATAAATCTTAATTTTCAATTTTCTCGAAATAAATCCAAATGGACTATTGCCGTTCTTCGCCTGGACCCTTCATATGTTAAATTTGGTTGTAAAAATGTTTCTATAAAATTTATGGGATATGTTATCTACATTATGTATGTTATCTATATATTGATATTTATTTTATTAACATCACTTACAGGAACTTTTCTAGGACGATTTCTATGTGATCCGCTTTTATCTTTGGGGGCTATTCCTTC